TTAGAAATGTAATAAATAGAACCCAACATTCCACAGCTAAGCCCGACTTTGGCAAAGCCTTTCGTCTCACCCTCCTGGAGTGCTCGCAAGCCCAACCCAAAATCAGAATAAAACTAAAATAAAATAATTTCACCGCAATTCACAGTCGCTTCCCGTTTCCCGTCCTCCCCTCCCCTCTCTTCTTCTTCTTCTTCCTCAGGCTCTTGTTCAGTTTCGTTTTCTTCATTTGATTGGTTCTTGCTCTTCATTTTCATTTTTCTCCAGTTCTTCTTGTGTATCCAGTTACCCAGCCCTCCCCCTTCTTCGGCCCTTCTTCTTCCTTTTCAGTTCGTCTTCTTTGGAAGTTGATGCTTGAGGTGTTAAATATCAGCATTTGGTCATTTTGAAGAGGTAAGCGCATTGTATCTTGTGTCCTTTCGATGCTGTTTCAATTTCTTGCTTTGAGTACATTTTCTAATAAGTTTGTAACATTTTTCTAACATTTGCTTTGAGTGTATAAATTTGAGAAAATTTTATAAATACAGATGAGATGCTGCTGAAATTTTGACAGATGTTTTCACTGAATGAACAAAAAATTGGCCAAAGCTTTTGCCCGAAAAATTGTGATCCTGGCGGGCCCTGGTTCGATCTCTCTTTTCCCTCTGAATGCTAATCTCAGTCGCTGTGTTTGGTTTGAAGAAACACAAAGCTACTCACTCTTACCCACTTCTTTGCCTTAGAGCTAATGTCTATCAAAAGGCTGAACCTCCATCAGCTGCTGAGCTAATTTCTTTTATCTTTCTGGACTTTCCTCTCTGTTTGTCATTAGCTTTGACATTATCAATTCCCATTAGAGTGCTAGGGAGAGCTTCATTAAGGTGTCAAAAGGATCTGACTCAATTTCTTTTGTTGTTTTATAGAATAGAGAAACCTTTATTAAGAAAACAGACAATACGACAGGGGAACAAGGTGTTCACCGCTAAAGAGGACAATGAAAATAAATACAACTATTGCCAACCTTACAGAACCTAATTCACAGCTTCTTTTCTGTCTAATAAAATCATGGACAAAGATATACCCCTAAACTCAATGGAAATCGAAGCCGACATTGAGGAAAAAAGTCTGTCTCATGACTCCTACAACCCAAGTTCCTAGTAATCTTCAAATATGCTCATGTTTCTGTCCATCCAAATCATCCAAGTAACTGCCAGCACACTACAACTCCATAGAATTTTTGCCTCCTTCCCACCACCTATTTCTATTATAGGGCGCCTCTGTCAGAAAATGCTTAGCAAATCTTTTTGTTTAGATGATGCATTCAGTAATATCAGGTGTAATATCAGAAGTATTTCAATTGAATTGAACTATATTTTCAGTTTAGAAAGATGGAATTAATTGATCCTGATAGCCCAAAGCACTGTTAATAAATCTACTTTAGTTCTGATTTCTATTTCAAATCGCACTTTAGTTCTGATTTCTATTTCAAATTGTGTAATTGTGCAGAATCTCCACACAATATGCAGAGAAGAATAATATGGAAAACTTGCCATTTTACAAGATTTCATTGTCGACTTGATCAAAAGGCGTGTTTTGAATCGGAGAGAACCCTTACCTTAGTATGTGATGCAGATGATCCTTTGTATGCGGATGTACCAAGACCTCCAAGAAAAATATCAGAGAGGAAGCCTTACTCTACACCTATGAAGGTTTTGATTCAAAGAGCGAAGGAGGAGAAAGAAGCCAGAAAGGCCCAGCCTTGTAGGATGCTTGAAGAACCTCCTGATAATGGATTGTTGGTCCCTGAATTGGTTGAGGTGGCTCATCAAGTTTACCGAGCTCGACAATCAGTCCTGTTTGGCTTGTCAAAGCTTCTTCAAGTTGTTCCTGTCCAACGGTGCAGGTAGCCAGAGGTTGCCTCTTTTATTTATGTTTGCTTGTGCTCATTCCTTTAGTTTGCTTACGAGTTCACATGTCAACTCTAATTTTCAGTTTCACCTTAGTAAACTAAACTTACTCGTCCTTATACATTGTGGTTCCTCTCTTGTCCAAATCTCTTGTAAGAGTGAAGTTTGTGATTTTTAGTCCCCTGTACATTGTGGGCATCTCTTTTGTCAATTATTTGGCTTAAGGATTTATATCCTTTTAGGGTTTTAACAGTTAGTTACTGGCGGTGACTTATGTTGATTATGTAGGCAGGATATGTTTTGTAGATGTCCATATTCTCTTCCTGGCTTGTAATCTCAATGTTGTATGTGTACTGCTTTGATGCATTCAACTTGCCCAAGCAATTTCCAATATGCACAGTCGTATATACAGCTAATTAGGGAAGATAATCAGAGTCTATGGAAAGAAATAGGGCACATTTTACTGAAAATATGAATTACTAACATAATGATGATTCTTAATCTGCCTTTTGTAGTAATTGGTTGATTTACTGAGTTTCGTTCTGATCAGAATATCTAACACTTAAGCTTGTTAATTGATTGTCTTATTGAAACAAGGCTTTTAATCGCAGGTTTTGCTCTGAAGTTCACATTGGCCATGCAGGTCATGAAATCCGAACTTGCACTGGCCCAAATAGTGGTTTTCGGAGTGCTTCACATGTTTGGAAGAAGGGAGGAGTTCAAGATGTGGTTTCCTTTCCTAAATGCTTCCATCTTTATGATCGTGTTGGAAAACCAAGAGTTGGGCATGACGAGAGGTATCGAATCCCACGGATCCCTGCCATTTTGGAGCTCTGTATACAGGCTGGTCTAGAGATTGACGAGTACCCAACAAAGAGAAGAACGAGACCTGTATATTGTATTGAAGGAAGAATTGTGGACTTTGAGATGGTTAAAAAAATGGATGAAATGGATAGAAACTCATATCCGGGGATTGTTGATCCCCTAGTAGATCCTGATGTAGGAACTAATGTGGAAGAATTGATAAATTCAGCTTCACTGAGCCATACTAACTGTGTAAATAAATCAAGTGATAAAGTGGGGAAATCTTTGACCGAGTTGAGTGGTATTACAATGGGCTCATGGTTTGAGATGATATCCGGAGCAAAGAAGATCATGGAGAAATACAGTGTGAAGACTTGTGGATATTGTTTAGAGGTCCAGGTGGGTCCCAAGGGGCACAAAGTGAGGATGTGCAAGGCATCAAAGCATCAATCTCGTAACGGTTTGCACGCATGGCAAGAAGCAACAATGGAAGATCTTGTAGGTCTGAACTATGTTTGGCATGTCCGAGACGTTAATTGTCCTGCTCTGGATAACAACCTAAAGAGGTATTATGGCAAGGCTCCAGCTGTGGTGGAGCTATGTGTGCAGGCAGGTGCACCTGTTCCGGATGAATATAGGAGTATGATGAGATTAGATGTGGCTTCTCCTGAACGTGATGAGGTTGATCTTGTTGCTTGATATAAAGTTCCTGTATGCAGATGGATGTGATATACTAAAGAGATGTTAAAAGGGGTTCTGCTGCTCTTCCATATTGTGTCTGAAAGCTGCGAGTAAGTAAAGGGGAGGAAAGCTTATTCGAAGACATATCTACTTCCATATTGTGGCTTATGAATGTGAGTGTTCTCTCTGCAGGTTTAGGTAGTCATAGGTTAATTTGATTGCACTGCCCTTACTTCTGTAGTTTCTGTTGCTCGAATTTGTCTAGCAAAAGAGAGAACTAGGATGAATTAGTAAAGAAAAATGTATCTGTGCTTCGGAAGAAGCCATAAGATTGATTTAGATGCAGTCTCAGAGGTGTGAGCATACAAATGTATGCATGATATGAGCATACAAATGTATGCATGATATGTGCATACAAAATATAATGAAAATTTGGTTAATCAGTAAAATTTTGCGGTTTTGTAGATTGAGGAGCTGTTGTACTTCAGTCTTGATAAGCTGATATCATACCCCTAATAAATCATTTTTTAGGTCATTAGGAGGGTAATTTTAGACATAAGAACGATACAACCTTTATGCATATAGTACAAGAAGTAGCATTTAACAGATGATTGTTTTTGGGTGGAGTTGGGTGTAGAAGGTGGGAGATCAATCAAGGGTCATTGTTTAAGTTCCACCAGCGTCGGCATTTGGAGGCTACACTTATCAAGTCCTTGGCTGAGAGAGCAAAGCCTTCTACTTTTGTATGACATTTCACAATTTCGGTGGAGGTAGGAAGCTTGTCAACCCTAGATTTGTTGGGCGATGCCCACGTCAGAAGCTCTTCTCCATAAATCTGCCCTCTCCCAAGTTGCTTGGTGGCAATTGATGGGGAGGCACCGTTATTTGTCGTCGTTTTTCCACCATGTGTACGACCAGGATCAGAAGTTGTGCTGTAGGTCAAGACAGTGCCTTCTATAATGAAGAGCATGCGATCAACTGGGTGCCGCATTTGAAATATGATTTTATCTTCGGGGAATGTCACTGGCGTCGCATAGTCGCAAATCATTTTCAGCACTTTTTCATCCATAACCTTAAGGAATTGTACCTGCATTTATACATAGTTTAGCTTACATTAATCCATCGATGCTTTTGGCACTCCAAATCTCATCTCCCACGCTCTACTCCTCACAAATGATGAGTGTATAAGACGGATTAAGGGTGATTTCAGAGTGCCTCTCAGGATACAAAAGAATTGTCCTACATCCGAAAGTTAAGAATAAAGAGTTGGATCACTCTCCTAATTGTCAATTGATTTTGAGGTTAGAAGCTCAACTTTCTTCAGTGATCAATATTTAAACACAAAGCAAGATTCATTCATCTATACAAGTACAATGTTGATAACTTATGAGAGAGAGAGAGAGAGAGAGAGAGAGAGTTACTTGTGATAGAATATCCCAGCAAAGATGACGCTTCAGAATTTTTTTGGTATACCAGGGAAGAACATCGAATAGATTCTCCAGATCGGCATCTTTGTCTTTTTCCAATTTTTGATGTATGTTTTTCATGATTTCTTTCTTCAAATCTTCAGGAACATGATTTTTCTCCATCCATGTTTCTAACACTTGCTCTTTTATTTTAATCTTTTGCCTTATGTCCTCCGATTTTGTGGTTGTCAACTGAATGAATGTCTGTACGTACATTTCACCACAAACAGTAAATTAGAAGCTCAATGATCATCAGCCCTGAAGCTGAAGGAAAATAAACGGGAACTAAACAGATATCTAGCAGAGAGATTCATTACCAACCTGCACATTTCCAATGAGATATACAAATAGTAGCACACCAGTGATAGAAATAAGGATTGCAAAGAAATTTTCCCACACATAATTACTTCTTGTGAGATTCGTGCCAAAGTTGCTGCAAAAATTAAGCAAAGGATCAAGCAAAATGTGGGACAATAAAGCAACTTATTTTCCCACATTAAGTGGTATACGAATCCGGCTTCGAACTTATGTTTAGTTTGAATATATATATACAAAAGAAAATGCTGAAATTGTCAAATAATTAATTATGTAAGTGCAAGCAAACCTTAGATTTCTCAAGCCCCACCAAAAAGAGAAGCATAACTTGGTTGGAAAATTTATATCCCCCGTGTTACCATCATTCTTAAGGGAATCAAGAAATATTCCATAATTAAATGGCGGCTTAGTGTCCCCTGGAAATTCTACACCACAATGTTCATTGAAAAATGTAATATTTCTTAAAGTAGTACTGCGATCATCACAATAAAAGGTACTCATGCATCCTGTATAATCTAGATCTGTAGTACTATTTCTTTCACAAGCTCGGTGCCAACATGATGTCTCTCGTTGAACGGAAAAGAAATACCAAAAGGCTCCAAGTACCTAAAAGTTAAACCAGTACATAAGCATTATAACAAACACTATGATACATTAAGGAAAACTCTCTGGGAGGAAGATGTTCATAATGAGAAGAGATGTATTTGGAAAAAAAAAAAAAAAAAATTTAAAATAACAGTACTCTTGTGGAGAGATGGGAATTTTCAGCTTAATTGCATTTCAGAAAATTAAAACAATTATCTAATTATGTGGTAACAGTAGTTGATAAGATGGAACTAGCTAGTGCTCAATAATTGAATTTTACACTCACTCTACTAATTATATATATTACCACATCAATTAAGCCAGCACCATATGGATATGGTCACTTTTATTGTAAATGAAGTTCAAGTTCATCAAGCATTTTATTACCAAAATAAATATTAAAATGAAAAAAGTAAAACTTACATGGCTGGCAAGAATGTACAAAAAAAAATTGAATATGGCTTTGACTCGTATTCCAGTTGTCTTTATAAGTTTCTTGGATGATAAGATAATTCGAAAAATCCTCGGCAAATACTGAATGAGAAGAAAAATGTTCAAAACCTTCCTGTGTTCCAAATATTCCGGCCCTTTCATTTTGAAGAAAAGCACTACTACTAAAATCTGACATAATGAATAGTATTGGGTTAGAAATCTATTTTTTAAACCTGGAAAAACCTACACACAAAAAATAAAATAAAATAAAATATCTCTTACTTGTGGCATGGGAAGAACAGAGAGAAGGTCAGTTAAGAAAGAGAGCCATGACAAATACCCAGCAAACTTCTTA